TAAATACTAATTTTTTTTTCTAAAATGCCTGATAGGCATAAGTACAAGGAATATAAGAATGAAAAAACACCCAATTTACCACAAAAACGAATATAACTGAACAGACACGTGTTTCAATTGTAATTTGTGGTGAATCTCTTTTTATATTTATTTCATTATCACAGCAAACTCCTTATTCTGTTTTGTCAACAAAAAGAAGTTTGAAGGGTAAATACAATTGCGTCATTAATAGTACTAAATGGTGGAAATCATGAAAGAATTACCAATTAAAAAACCCAACGTATTTAATTTATCTATTATGAATTTATTCATTTGTATTAATAAGTTAAATTTTCTTTTAAAAAATAATGCAAAACAAGCCAACCTAAAGATTTTCACCTCGCCATTAATAATAACTCGTAAACAAAATAATTGTGAGTATAAACATATATAATTTGTTTGATTTTTAATCGTTTCCGTGTTATTAATGCAAAATATTTTAAATTGTTAATTCTTACCGAAATCTGCGTGAACTACACACGTTGCACACACGTTTTATACCTATTGAATTCAGTTTTCACTGGTAATACATTTCCATAGGCAGAAATAATACATTCCGGAAACCGCAACTACCACCATAGATAAGAGATAACTACCAATTATAATTAGAATCTACTAGAATCCCTAAAAATGCACTATTACCCAAGGTTGCCTACGATCCACCATCCTTAAGAGAATGAACAATCAAATATTTATTTGTGACTAAATTCTCAACGAAATTGTCTATTAAAATAATGTTATTAAATATTAAGTATTTAAAATTTTTTAGTTGTAAAATGCGAATATTTCAATCCAGGAGGTTCAGTAAAAGATCGTATTGGCATTAGAATGCTTGAAGATGCAGAGAAAAAAGGGTTAATCAAACCGGGTGACACTCTTATTGAACCTAGTTCGGGAAATACGGGGATTGGAGTAGCTTTAGCATGTGCAGTAAAAGGTATTAATACAAAAATGTAAACTAATTTTAAAAAACTGCAAATACAAATTCAGACAAAATTAAATATTACAATTTAAGCAGCCTGTTTTAAAATTCTTTAATACCCTAGGATACCGTTGCATCATCGTGATGGCAATGAAAATGTCTAATGAAAAGGTTAACGTACTTAAGGCATTGGGGGCTGAAATCGTTCGTGTACCCACTGAAGCAGCGTTCGATTCACCTGAAGGGTCCCTTGCTGTAGCACAAAGACTACGGGATGCAACACCGAATTCATACATTCTAAATCAATACAAAAATTCGGGTAATCCCCTTGCTCATTACGACCACACTGCAATGGAAATTTACGAACAATGTGACGGAAAAATTGATATGGTGGTAAGTACCAAATAATATATAATAATTACCATGTTAACGGTTTTGCATTCATAAAGGTAAAGAGAAGTTCTTACAGGATTGAGTGGAGTATCAACTGAAAGAACTAATTTTGCATATTTCACTTATTTAATTTTAAATTAGGTAGGTACTTAAAATTTGCAAAAAAATTAAGGCAGTTTTGAAAATTATACAGGAGAAGCATTTATAGTACTGATGAGAAAAATAATAATCACTGTTAATTTTTGACCTTATTTATATTTGAAGTCTGCAGGTCAAAATCAAATTGTGCTATCTATTTTAATGCAGGGGACTGATAAAAGTCATGGTTAATACCTAATATATTTTGCCATAGGTCATAGGGGCCGGAACAGGTGGCACGGTAACAGGAATAGGACGTCGTTTGAAAGAACTAATTCCCAATGTTCAAGTAATAGCAAGTGATCCCTATGGATCTATATTAGCGGCTCCGGATAATTTAAATGAAGGGGGTGTGGGATTTTATGAAGTGGAGGGAATAGGTTATGACTTTATTCCGGTAGTTTTGGATAGATCTGTGGTTGATAAATGGGTAAAAACCACTGACAAGGAATCATTTATTATGGCCAAAAGACTTATCAGGGAGGAAGGGTTACTTTCAGGTAAATGTCACGAAAATAAAATAGAATTATTTTATTCCTCTTCTTTTTCTTTGAAAATAATACATACATGAGAGAAATAAATAAGTTATTTAAATAGGTGGAAGTAGTGGTGCTAACGTAGCAGCTGCTTTAAAGGCAGCAAAAAATTTAAAAGAAGGACAAAAATGTGTTGTAATTTTACCAGACAGTATCAGAAATTATTTAACAAAATTTGTGTCAGAAGAATGGATGGAAGCCAAACGTTACATTTCACCTGAGAATATTCATAATCATTCGTAAGTTTGGTATGTCTTAAAAAAAAAATAAAACATTCACTAAATGTATTTGTAGGTGGTGGGATGATAAGGTGAGCAATTTACAACTCGAAAAACCCAAAATATTGTACACTACATCCACATGTCAAGATTTCAAGAAATTACTAGATGAATATAAAACTGATACCGTTCCAGTACTTAATGAAAATGGGTAAAATTATTAAAAATGTGTCTCTTTTTTTTAACATTACGAATTATTATTCAAGGCATATTGAGGGAATTACATCTTCTAAAGATATAATGACAATGATAAATAACAAACGAATAGCATTAAATGATCCTATCATACCAGCTATCAATAAGAAAATAATAAAAGTCGATTCAAATACTAGTCTGGGTTTGATATCAAGAATTTTGCACATTGAACCTTGTGTTATTGTGACTGAAGGTATTATGATATAATCAATTATGTATGTACAGTTTTTATTTATAAAAGGTAACTTTTATTTTTTCAGGTAACGCACACACTGAACAACTAAAAGGAATTGTTACAAATACACACTTATTTAATTATATTTCATCACTTCCTTCACAAAATGGCATTTAATAAAAGTTTGAAGTTATTTATCTTTTATTAAATACTCCCATGCTACTCTAAACATATATTAAAAAAACGTTTACAATATAATTAAAAAACAATGTGATTTTTCTGATATACCTAAACAATACAACTTCAAATATAAAACAATTTTTAATATATAACTTTTCACTTACCAATTTAAATATTGTAATAATTACATTCTTTGAACCTGTATGTGAAATTTGCAGGAGGGCATGTTTTGAACTTCAGCAGTTACAAGACAATTGATTCCCAGATTTGCCAGCCCACCTCTGATTACCCCACATGTAAATGCCACATAACGTGGAGCATATTCCAAATATTGCTTGCCATTAGATATTTTAATTAGAAAACGGAATGCATTGTCTTGTAAAACGTAAACACCTTGGTGATTTGTTCTTAAATTGTCTATCTGTTTTTTATAAATGGCTGACCAGAAGTCAGTACATATAAATTTCATCGTGTCCAGTTCATCCTTAAACCTAGGCATTTCTTTAGTCAACCTAAAATGTACAAGATTAACCAAAATTGCATTTACTAAAATCTAATTTTGAAATACCTTTCTATTACTTTAAAGCCTGTAGAAAATCCAATAAACTCTATGTTTGATAAGTCATCATCCTAATAACATGTACTTTTTTATTACAAGACAAATATAAAAAAGTGAAATATGTTACCTTGCTTTCCTTTTTCTTAATTTCATTTCGCTGAATTGAATAATTAATTACCTCTGAATGTAAAAATTCAAATAAGTCATCAGACATAGACATCTTTCATAAACAATAAATGAGGTTATATTTGTTATATTCATACGTTAGAGATGTATAATAAGGTAGTATAAGGTCATGGATTAAACATAAAGTGGTTAATAAGGATTTCTTATTTTCTTACTACAACTTTCATGTTTTTTGTGTGTTACTTTATGGGCGAATAACAATTCATCCTTTTCAAATTTAATAAATAGTCTTCATATCATACTTTATATAAAATGGATCCAGCTTTATTAAAGGAACGAGAATTATTTAAGAAACGTGCTCTGGCAACACCAACGTAATATCTTGAAATAGTTTCTTTTCATTTATATACATATACACAGTACTTTTGTTTTAGAGTCGAGAAAAAGAAAAATGATACAAAATCAGATTCTATTCGAGATGAAAAGAAGAAAAGCAAAGTATCCTCTTCATCAGGCTCAAAACTTGACCTAAATACGTAAAAATAACCGCATTTATTTCGCTTTATACTTTGGTATAATTTATATTTTTTATAGATATAAGACTGCTTCAGGAAGTTCACAATATCGTTTTGGTGTTTTAGCCAAAATAGTTAAACACATGCGTGTAAGACATCAAGAAGGAGATTCGCATCCATTGACATTAGAAGAAATCCTTGATGAAACTAATCAGTTAGATGTGGGGTCTAAAGTTAAACAAGTATGAAGAATGAATTTTATCAGAATCACTTAAATATTTGTGTATTGCTTTATAGTGGCTACAAACAGAAGCATTACAAAATAATCCAAAAATTGAAGTAACTGTAGATGGTAAATTTACTTTTAAGGCCACATATAAACTAAAGGATCGTAAAAGTTTATTGAAGTTGCTCAAACAACAAGATTTAAAAGGCTTAGGCGGAATATATCTTGATGATGTAATGGAATCTTTGCCTCATGCAGAAAAGGCTTTAAAGGTAGAAATAATAAAAGGAATTTTATTTATGCTTCTTAAACTATAACAAATTTCATTTTGTATTTAAGACTCTACAGAATCAAAATGAAATAATTTTTGTTGCAAGACCATTAGACAAAAAAAAGGTGTTATTTTATAATGATAGAACTGCTAGTATGCCAATAGATGAAGAATTTCAGAAATTATGGAGGTCAGTTGCTGTTGATGCAATGGATGATGAAAAAATTGATGAATATTTAGAGAAACAAGGTGAAATTTTAATCAGATTTAATGTCAGAATTCCATACTTAAAGAAATCTATCTCCTAAAAATATAAAAATTATTTTTAAATATGTATTTCAGGCATAAGATCAATGCAGGACCATGGTCCCAAAAAACCAATGGTACCTTTAAAACGAAAGAAAGCTGCCCAAAGAAAGAAACAGTTCAAGAGACCCAGAGATAATGAGCATTTGGCTGATGTTTTAGAAAATTATGAAGACAACACTTTAACTCAAAAAGGCCAATACTCCACCTAATCACTCATTTTTTAACGTACAAGAAAAAATAACAAGCAATTTACTTATTAAACAGTATCATATTAAAATGATCATTTGTGTAAAGTGGATATCTATTTCTAACAGGGAAACGCGGAGATAATTTATGTGATAATAAACTTCCTGTTTGAAGATTATTTATAGAAAGATTGAAATAAAAAAGTGTTTAGTACTAACATTTTTTTATTGGAATTGTTATACCTACTAAATAAGCATGAAAATTAAAATTTGTTTTCTGCTTTTATTTTTCCAGTCGTTTGATTTTTGTTTTGGTTCAGATAATGCAACATATCAAGAATCCAAAAAATCTCGGGTACGTCGTATTGTGGGTGGCTACCCGGCAAAAATGCCGCCCTATGACGATCCTTTGGTGTTTATAAATTTTGCAGGAAGATTTGCCAAAGTGAGGGGAGTGTTGGACTTTCCGCATTATGTTTTTCGTGGATTGCGATTCGCTGAACCGCCCATTAAAAAAGAAAGGTTTCAGGTATTTCTCAAGTACAATTATTATATTTATATGTTAATTTTGATTAGGAAAAATTTATTGCTGATAATTTAGAGGCCAAAGCAACATTTCCTGAAAGGTGATGTAGACGCAACTAGATTTCCACCCCCTTGTATTCAACCAATTTCTGGACAAAACAGAGTCGTTGGTAGTGAAGATTGTTTATTCCTAAACGTTTTTACTCCTGATTTACCTATTGGCACTGAAGGTTACTACAAATTTCTATACTTAATAAATTTTTAAAGAGTCTTTCTAAAATCTTTTTCTACAGGTCTTCCTGTAGTGGTCTGGATTCACGGGGGTGGATTCAGATATGGTTCAGCTTCTCAATATGGAGTAAGCACCATAAAAAATGTTTTAAATTATATTAATACTTACGCAAATTAAATACTTAGGTTAGACATTTAGTTGGCAAGCGGCTAATAGTTGTTACCATACAGTACAGATTAGGTTCCTTGGGATTTTTAAGTACGCAGTCAGCAGAACTGCCCGGAAATGCAGGATTTTGGGATATGGTAATGGCGGTAAGATGGGTTCGAAATTACATAGGATATTTTGGGGGAAATCCTTACAATATTGTTGTAATGGGACATGGATCAGGAGCAAGCAGTGCAATGTTAATGGCACTGAACAAAGTAGCGAAAGGTCCACATTTATTTATCATTTAAATTTTCTTAAACAACTCATTAATTTATTTATAATAGGATACGCAAATGGAGTTATAGCCTTATCAGGAACAGCAGTTTCTAACTGGGCAATGGATGATGATCCCAATGGGGTGGCAAGGGAACTTGCTGAGACTCAAGGTTGTCCCACCACCTCAGCATTAGCAATGATTAAATGTTTGCAGAGTATACCAGCTCAAAATATAATTAATGTAAACGATCTATTTTTAATTTGTTAGTTTTGTAATTCTCTATATTATTAAAGGCTGATTCTCAAATACAAATGCAACGAGTAAATTCGCGAGGATTTATGGGAGCAATGTCAAGATCACTTGGGGCTTCTCCAGTTGTAGAAGGCGTACACGATGGAAGGTCTCTACCCAGTGGCGTTGAACACGAACCCTTCAAGCAAATGTCCGAAGGAAATATACCAAATATTCCTTTATTTACCGGAGTCACCAAAGAAGAAACCAAACGTGCCGTTAACAGTAAGATTTTAAATTTTAATGACAAATTTTGAATTCATAATTACTTGGTTGGCAGGCGTTTTTAAAGATGAAGTTCTACAATCACTACAAACGAAATCCGAATTTTTGAATAAGGTACTTATTCAAGAACTTCAGTCGTTTACTGCGATAGGAAAGGAGTCTATAATTGGGTCTCAGAATGGTCTCTGGAAAACTTTGGATTCGTTTAAGTTTGGAAAATACATTGACGTTGCCAAAAATAATGTTGTTGAAGCTTTTGGAAAAATTACCGAAGCAACAGGTAACAAAATCAGACACTCAAAAGATTTTACTTACTATCTGTCTCTACGTTTTTAGCGGACGCTTTGTTCAACTTACCGGCCTTCCTTTCTGTGAATTTGTGGTCGAAAAGTAAAGCTCCTACTTTTTTATATTCCTTCGATCACATTCCAAAAGTCAGTAAAGCGCATTATTTTCTAGCTGGCCTGCCTTTTGTTGGAAATAACAGTAAGCGCAACATTATCTTTTTCGTTAAAATAGAAATAATTTAAAATGTAAAACAGAAAAAGAATATAAAAAATTATAATAGGTGCTCAAGAACGTTCAGCAAGTCACGGCGAAGATTTGGCCTTCTTATTTGACGCGTATACCCTCGAAGGAGAACCGTTAGATTTAAATGGAGACTTCACAGAAGAAGATATGCAAGTACGAAACGTTTTCGTGGAGGCCATAGCCAGTTTTGCGAAACACAAAAAAATCTCCTTTGAAAACAAAGATCTGCCAAGTTTTTCAAGTTCTAACAATAATTTTTTCCAAATAAGTTCTGCTCCGAAAATCGAAAGCAATTTTCGATTTTGCCAAATGGGTCTTTGGGCTGGTTTAGCCGATAGATTACAAGATGCTCAGTGCAAGGTATTCAACATTTTGGATAGTGAACTGAAAAATTATCAAAAACAACTTTTCGACGTAGCCGGCGTACCTCAAAAAAATCTTCCAAAGGTTCCTAATGTCGGAATTGGCGGATTAACATCGCATATAGGGCAAAACTTGGGAGGGATTTTTGGAAAAAAATAAAACAGGTAAAAAAGTACTCGTATTTTTAATAAAAAAGCATTCTTAGTTGTACGACTTACTTAACTACTTATTACTTTTACTAATAAAACCATTTACATTCTTATTTCTTTAATTTTTTTAAAAATGAAATTTACCAGCCAAATTGATCCAGTTAAGAACTGCAGCAGTGCGAGGAGCAAAAAACAATTTCTGTAACTTATGTCTGAAAATAAGAACGAAAATATGACCATATTTTCATAATATATAACGTATTTTAGTGTAGATTTTTATTATTAAAAGTATTATTTCCTTTGAAAATTAATGTTAAGCGTTTCATTTAATTTCGAGTTTCCATATTAAACAAAACACCTTATTAAAAGTAAAATATGGAAAAGAATAGAGATAGTTGTATCTTTACAAAATATTTAAAAAAATACTTCATCAAACCAAGAGAAATGTTAATATTTTTGAATTAACAAGTAGTTTATTTGTTTTACTTTGAAATGTACTTATATATTAAAAGAAGTATTTTTTTTTTGTTTGTGGTGAATTAGTGCCAATAAATTTTGAAACATCAACCATTAATATATTAAAAAATACTTACCTATCAGAAAAAAAGTGCAAAAAGCCAGTCCTGTTACAGTACATAAAATACAGTGTGTTCGACTACTTTGTCCCATAGCATTTACTTTAAATAATGAATTATCCAGTACATTCAAGAGACTTAAACTGAGAGAAATATTAACAGCACCGAATAATAATGCAGATTCTGCATGGGATGTAGAAATAGCTAAAAATTCATTATTTTAAAGAATACGTTTGAAATTTACATACTTCTACACGCATATAGAAATGTAGGACAAAGTGTGTTATGTAAACAATTTCTATTT